CAGTGGACACAGTGTGGAGGCCTAAAAGGCTTGGTTCCCCCAACAACTGTGTATTTATAGTGTCTGCAGTGAGTTAAGGACAAAGCACACACTGGGGAGTTTGGCTTATGACTGTGCTGTAGCCTCTTGGAGGGCCAGGGAGTTATTTTATGTTTGCAGTCACTGGGTTCCTTTGTTTGCAAAAAACTGAATGACTAAGTGATATGCTGCCTTGAAATCAGAAGTGAAATGAGTAGTATAGTCATTTAGCTCCAGAATACCAAGCATCCTAGACAGATAACATGGAGAGAATATGCGAGCGCCTGGAACAGGGGGATCCAGGCTTTGCTGCCAGTTCACATTTCATCCTGGACGCTGGTCACTCGTTTTGAGTGGGGCCCCTTGTCCAAGATTAGGGAGTGTATGAGGCACTAGCGTAGGGGCCAGGAGTTGGGTTGGAGAGTTGGCTCACTGCTTAGGCAAGTTCCTCACCCCTCTGTTGATTCCTTGGCTGTTAAACAGTTCCGAGCTTCCCAGGACAATGGCCACGTGTTCCTTTCCTAGTGTCCTCTGTATTCCTCACAGGGCCTGTCACAGAGCTAGTGGTATGTGGTAGTTTCTTTAAAAATGGCTCGCCAGTGAAATGCATTCAAGGTTCTTTTTGCCTCAAACAAAGAATTGGGCAGGACAAGTCAAAAGTGGTACCAAAAGTTTATTTGAAACTCGGGGGTCAGGGGCTAAGGGTAAAACTGCCCCTGCGGAACAGACTGGCTAAATGAGAACAATGAAAGTACAGCCCGTGTCTGGGAGAAGTCATGATAGCAGGCTCCTTGTGGTGTCTTTGTCTATATGCAGGGCACATCTCATAGGAACCTGCAAGAAGTTGTGCATACAGTTCTGTGGGAATTACCTGGTGCTGCCCTGGGAGCTCATAACGGGGACATCTCCCAGCCAGCTCTGCCACACCCTAGCTCCTATCTCATTAGTGTCTAATGTGTAGTTGTTACCCAGGTCACAGTCTTGGGCTTCATGTCGGATACTTAGGCTGAACGGGATTTTTGTGTGTTTTGATTATAAAGTGTCACTTAAAAAAACAACTGTTATCCTTGAAGGAGATAAATATCTTTTTTTTTTTTTTTTTTTTAATGTATTTGGTATAGGTTCTCACTGCGTAGCTTGGACTCGTAGTGATCCTCCTGTTTTCAGCTTCCCCAGATCTGGGATTACAGGTGCGCACCACTATACCTGGTCTCGGGGGCTGGCTCAACGCACCTGGGGGCAGGGCTGTTGCAGCATGTGGTGCCAGGGATCGAACCCTGGTCCCTGTGCTTGCCTAAGCAGGCACTTAGTCTGCTGAGCTATCTTGCTGTAGCAGCATGTTGTAGGATAAGGTGCCCACTGCCCTGCTTTCCTTATCTCCTTCAATCCCCGAATCTGCCAAAAAAAAAGAAAAGAGAAATACCAGTTTCCTTGTCTCCTCTCCAGGTACAATTTCACGATGCTAGCACTGTCATTCTCATTCCTGGTGTTGTCCTATCTCCTGACCCACTGGTGTGGCAGCGTGGGCTTCATTTTGGCCAATTGCTTTAACATGGGCATTCGGATCACACAGAGCCTTTGTTTCATCCACCGCTACTACCAAGGAAGCCCACATAGGCCCCTGGCTGGCCTGCGCCTGTCGCCTGTTCTCCTTGGGGTATTTGCCCTTGCTGGTGGGATCACCGGTATTTCAGAGGTGAGACTCTTCAGCCTTCACATGCATGATTCTGCAGTCTCCACTGTCCCTCCTCTAGGTGTCCCCTTCCTGCCCTGTCTGAGCCAGCTGGACAAGTCTCTAATCCCTGCAGGCCTCTAGAGCAGTGCCTTATGATAGATGTCACAAAGAATATCACCAGTGGGGAGACAGGAGATAGACCCACAGCCTGGCTGGCCTTTTATGTGACTCAGAAGCTTGAATGATAGCCACCTTCCCTGGTCTATCCTAGAGAAAAGGGGTACAGACTGAGGAGGCGAGCAGTGACCATGGTTTCTCTCCCCAGGTATTCCTCTGCTGTGAGCAAGGCTGGCCTGCCAGGCTAGCACACGTTGCTGTGGGCGCCCTGTGCTTAGGAGTGACTCTGGGGACGGTGTTCCTCACAGAAACCAAGCTCATCCACTTCTTGAGGACTCAGCTGGGTGTGTCCAGACTTGCTGACAAGATGACCTGACCATGGAGGTGCCTTGGTACCTGGACCAGTTGGGCGGTTCTTGGGCATGACACATTGCTGTGCAGAAGCCCAGCTGGAGTCTGCAGGGGAGTGGGCTGCCCCGGAGGTGAGAACCATGGATGAAAGCTGACCAAGGAGTTACATTTTTAAGTGAAGAACAAAAAGCCCTCTTAGAATTTTTTTTTTTTTTTTTAATGTATTTGGTACAGGGTCTCACTACACAGATCAGACTCAGTGATCCTCCTATTTTCAGCCTTCCAAGTGCTGGAATTACAGATGTGTGCCACCACACCTGGTCTTGGGCTGGCTCAGTGTGCCTGGGGGCAGGACTGGTACGGAATATGGTGCAGGGGGGTCAAACCCCAGTCCTTGCATCTGCCTAAGCAGGTGCTTTAATCCACTGAGCTGTCTGGCTGGCCCTCCAAAAGCCCATTTTTTTTCCATTATTTTTTTGAATCTGCATTTTTCCTTTTTCTGGATGAACTAATTTCTGGTGGGTGTGATTGAACTTTGGAGCTACGTGCTCCAACCAACTGTATCATAGGTGTTAATAATCTGGCTAAGAAAAATAAATAAGGAAAAGAGGTATAGCTATTTACCCTTTACAAGAATTTTTAGTTTCTTCAATAAAAGAAGAAAGGAGTTGGACACCGCCGTGTCCGCACCTGCAATCCCAGCACCGAGGGAAGCTGAAGCAGGAGCACTGTGAATTTGAGTCAGCACAGACACCTTAGTAAGTTTCAGAATGAAAAATAAAGAAGGGCAGAGGACGTAGCTCAGTACGCACTGCAAGAGCAGAGGGGCCCAGGAATGTGACTTTCCCCGTGTCAGTGCTGTGCTCTGCATTTTTAGAAAAGGGACAGTGTTGGTGAGAAACCCAGGAAATGCAGATGTAAAGCTTTTCTGATCACTTTCCCAGAGTGAGTGAGGGAGAATCTTACCCATCACGGTCCCTTGTATCCCTTGGGTGAGCTTGGGCCTTCCCCAGCATGGGCTCTTGGATTTGTTCAGTTGGGGGGGAAGCTGGCTAAGGATCCTAGGTGTGGCCCCTGGAAGAGGGGACTTTGAAGGACCCTAATCCATTGTGAGCTTCTCTGTCCCTGAAGTGGACAGGGAATGAATGCTATGGCAGCTTTCTGTAATTTCACGTATGGACATCGGTGGCTGAAATCAAACATGTCTCTCTTTAGCTTCAGAATGAAATAGTAAGATAGGATAAATTCCACATGGCAAGTATCACAGAGTCAAGCTCTTCTCACTGACCAGTTATTTCCAAGTTCTAGCCCCAGAAGACAGCAGGCCTGTGGATGTGGGCCTCCAGGCTAGCACCTGAGCTCAGGCTCCTTGCACCCCACGGGTGCGTGGCGAGCATTATTGTGTTTTTCTTTCCTCATGAATGTAGTAATCTCCTTTTAGATATGGTTGTCTGTCTGTCTCTTACCCACTCTCGCAGCCTCTCTCCTGAAGCTGGGGGGTGAAGTCGGGGCCTCACACATGCTTGGCAAGCATTCTATCTCTGCAGTTCTGCCCCAGCCCTCATTAGGGATTCTTGCCTTAATTTTGAGGAAGCATCCAGAACCTGCTGAGCATGGACCCAAGTGAGAACCTTGGGCTACCCAGAGGTAGGAGTTCCAAGTGCTGGCCTAGCTCTACACTGGGTTTGATTCATGTCCAACCAAGGAATCAGAGAGGATACAGTTCCCAGCACAGTCCTGGAAGAGCCAGGAGTAAAAAGGGACTGTGCTGGTGGGACTGGAGAAGAGGAAGGGCAGGGAAACCTGTCACATTGTTATCGACCGCTACTCTTTAGGGGAGACCAGGTAGAGGTAGAGGGGAAAAGCCTTTGGCACTGATGGACAGCGAGGAGCTGGAGATTGCTGGGGAGGACCCAGCTCCAGAATCTTGGGAACTAAGTCTCAGAACATTACTTTCAGGAGGTTCTGTGTCCCTGTGGGAGAGTTGTGGAAGGCAGAATGTGGAAGCCGTGCACAGGGCCTGTCAGAATGGTGAGATTTGGAAAGAACAGCCAAGGTCCCCCTAGAAACTTCTTAAAGACAGTGAAATACAACTGGAAAGAACAGCTGAACAAAAGCCCTAAAATACAGCCTTCGTTTGCTGATTATTCCATGAGTATCACAAAGGAGCTAAAACTTGTGTTTTCAATTTGCAATGAGTTTTCTGCACCAATAAAGATACAGATGAAAAATGGTTTGTTTTGCTGTTATTTACTGTACCTCGGTGAAGTAGCCCTGTTTTATTTTTATTTGGGCCTCTCATATATAAAAGAAACCTAAAGTACTTAACCTGGATCTGATTGAGTCTACCTCACATTGTGTATATAATTAGTGTATATCTGCAACACTAGTGATGTTTGGGAAATTTATATATATATTCCATCTTGATCATTTTCAATCCCTTTACTCTCCTTTTTACCATCCCCTGTTCCTAAATCCTCTTTCTCATCTCTTTTTTTTTTTTTTTTTTTTTACCTCCCTGCTTCCCTGGAACCCCTTTTCCGTATCTGAGTCTGCCATTTTATTTTCTGCCATCTTCTTTATTCATCCATTTATATTGTAGGTTTCTTATATAAGGAAAAACAGGAGGTACTTGGCTCTCTGTATCTGACTTACCCAACTGACCGACTTCTCTGATGCTCTCAAGTACCATCTGTTTTCCTACAAATGACATTGTTTCAGTGTTATTTTCTTTTTTTAATTAGTGTATGTTTACAATGCAGAGTAATTACCTTTGCATTTCATACCTTGATCATTTTAATCCTTGCCCTCATCTCCCTGTTCCCCCTTCCTCAGATCCCTTCCCAATCTCCCTGTTTCCTACTGTCTGACCTTTATTTTGCTCTTTATCTTTATTTTGGGGTTCTCATATAAAAGAAACTGTGCAACAGTTCATCTGTGTTTGATTCGTTTCATTTCACATTATTGTCTCAAGATCCATCCATTTTCCTGTAAGTAACTCAGATTTCTCCTTCATGACTGGATAATATTCCATTGTGGGGCGGGGATATATCCACTGTGCTCAGTGGCACAGCGCCTGCTTGAAGTGTGAAGTCCTGAGTTTGACTCCTGGTACAAAAAAAAGCTCCATTGTGTATGTATAGTACAGTTAGAAACAAAGGAGCTGAGTCTCACACACACACACCCCTCTAACCCGAAACTGCACCCAGTGGTTATTCCTGTTTCCATCATCCTAAGAGAGGTGCAAAATGAAATAAGCCTAAGAACTTTTGGATCTGCCATCTGTGGCGGAACCGCGCCAGGATGCAGATTTTCTTGAAAACGTCACACTCGAGGTTGAACCCTCGGACACTGTAAAAAATGTAAAGGCCGAGATCCAGGATAAGAAGGAATTCCTCCTGATCAGGACAGGCTGATCTTTGCTGCTAAGCAACTGGAGGATGGACGTATCTTGTCTGACGACAACATTCAAAACGAGTCTACCTTGTGCTGAGACTCCGTGGTGGTGCTAAGAAAAGGAAGAGAAATCTTTACAGCATTCCCAAGAAGAATAAGCATAAGAGAAGGTCAAGTCGGCTATCCTAAAATATGCTAAGATGGATGAAAATGGCAAAATTAGTTGTCTTCATCAAGAATGCCCTTCAGATGAATGTGGTGCGGGAGATTTTTTTGCCAGCCACTTTGACAGACATTATTGTGGCAAGTGTTGTCTGGCTTACTGCTTTAAAAAACCAGAAGACAAGTAATTATGAGTTAATGAAAAACTTAAGCTAACAATAAAAAAGCCTAAGATTCAGAGCACTGGCACCAAGGGAAATTGAATGGGAAACACCTAAATCCAGGAGTGTCTGGTCTTTAAATTCTGAAAGCCTGAATTATCCGCCCTCTTTCCCCTCTTTCCTGTTGCTGGTGCTACCTTTCCCATGATCATCAATAAACATAGCTATGTCCTACGTACTACTGGTTATATGGGCTTGGCAACTCTTTCCTCATCATACACAGGAACCTGGGCTGTTATTGGCCCATTCAACTATTACATGTGTGTCCCATTTTCCTTATCCGATCATCTCTTGGTGGGCATCTAGTGCTAGTTCCCTAAGTCAGAGATTGTGAATTGTGCTGCTATATGCATGTATCGTGCAATATTGGTTTGATTTGGGTTACTCTAATGGCCAAAGGTGCTGAACATGTTTGATGCACTTATTGGCCATTTGGACTTCTTTGGGGAAGTGTCTACAAATTTCAGTTGCCTGTTTTTTTATGGGATCTTTTATTTTGGGGGGATATAGTTTTTTATTTAATTTTTAAAACTATAGGGGGCTGGAGAGATGGCTCAGTAGAATAAGCACTTGCCTGGCAAGAGCAAGGGCCTGAGTTCAATGCCCGGTTCTGCCAAAAAAATAAAAAAAATAAACCCAGTGCAGAAAAACTATTTATTTATTTATTTGGTACAGGGTCTTGCTATACAGCTCGGACTCATAGTGATCCTCCTGTCTCTGTCTCCCCAGCACTGGGATTGCAGGCGTGCGCCCCCACACTCAGTTTAGGGCCAGCACAGATTGCAATATCGGGGATCTGAAGGGTTATCTCCCCAGCCCCTTATTTAATTCTTTATAAATTCTAGACATCAGTCCAGGACGAGTGGCTGGCATTTTTTTTTTCCTAGTCTGTACATTATCCCTTCACTTGGCTGATTCTTTTGCTGTGCAGCTTTTTAATTTGATATCCCATTTGTTGATTCTTGGTACTGTTTCTTGTGCAATTAGGGTTCTGTTCAGAAGTCCATACTTATGCCTGTCTTCAAATGTTTTATCTCCCAGCAGATTCAGTGTTTCAGTCTTTACATCTAGATCTTTCATTCATTTTGATTTGACTTTAATACAGAGGGAGAGATAGGGCTTGGCCTCACTCTTTTGCACATGGATAACCCATTTTTCCCAGCACTGTTAGGGACAGAGGCTAGCTTCTTCAGTGTTTTTAGCCCCTTTGTCAAAGATCAGAGGGTGAGCTGGGGAGATACTTAAGTGCCTGCCTGGCAAGTTCAAGGTCCTGAATTCAATCCCTGGTACCCCCCGCCCCCCCAAAAAAAAAGATCAGATAGCTTAAGGTGCATAGGGCTGCTTCTGTGTCTTCTACTCCATTGTTTTACATGTCTGTTTCTGTGCCAGTACCATGCTGTTTTTTTTTGTTGTTGTTGTTGTTGTTTTAATTTTTTATTTATTTATGTGTGTGTGTGTGTGTGTGGCCAGCTCAGCCCACCAGGGGGCGGGG